TGGCGAAAGCCAACATGGCCGTTCGGAGTCAGTGACTCCCAAATAAACAGCGGGTGTCCGGCGCTTCCCTCCGCAGACCGGGTGTGCCAGCAGCCGGGGCTGTCCCTGTGGGTCCCCTTCCAGAACGCCGCCACCGCCGTCACCAACCTCTACAAAGGTAAGGGGCCGCCCCGGCCTCCCCCAGCAGGGCTTCCCCTTGTGCCTGGTTGCTCTGATAAGGTTGCCCTGGCGCTTCCCCAGTCAGTCTCTCTAGCTCTCCCCCTGCTGTAGCTCACAGTGCCTTTTCCTCCCTTAAGGGGGTCCGTGGCAGTGACTGATCCTTCAAAAGTTTCTCCCTGGGCATTTTGACATGGGAGATGGTGAGGTGTGGCTCTTCTGCATAAGTGCGATGGGCATAGAGCAGGCCAAGGAGCAGCGTGTGAGGGTGGTGGCTTTGTATTGCTGAGTTCCTGGACAGTAGTAGTCACAAGGTGACAGACTTCACATCTGGCTTGTATTTCGATGAGGGTCGTCTGCATAATGGATACAGTAATGCAACTTACTGTGTTTGCATTGGCATCCATGGGATTTTATTGTCTTTTAGGGTTGTGTTAATGACCATTTAAGCTAAAGAGATTTTATCCATTGGAATCTTTTTGCTAAATTTCAACCATTTTTATACATCTTTGTCACCATGACAAATTTCAAGTATTACTTTGGACAACAGCAGATAAAAATCTATTGGGAAAGGTGTGTGATTTAACAGCTGCTGAGTTGTCTTGTTCACATCCGAGTTGGATCATATTAAATTGAGTGATTTCAGTATTTTAAAATGTCCAGGATGTTTATAAGAAATTAACTTAAAAAAAAAAAAAAACAACTCATAAAAACTTGCAAGAGAATAGATCTGCCAGTTGTTGATGCACACAAATATAGTTACGTTTAGCTGTTAAATTGCATTTTTTTTCATGTTTTCCAAAAATTCCATCTCTAAACTGCTGATAATTGGGTATTATGAGGCTTAATTTTTTTTCTTTTATAAAAAATAGTTGCTTGGAAAAAGTTGCTATTAGAAAAACCTTTTGTAAACTTACCCAAACTGGCTTTTGCACTGCTTAGTTCAGAAACGTCTTTCTTACTCCAGCTTGGTTATGAGTTCAGAAGAAGAGTTTAGAAAAAAGACTTGGGTAAACAATTGTGTTCCTGATTCTTATTTTTGGAATGGTGCATTTGCTTCCTTCTCTGTCTAGAATTCTAAGGTGGTAGAGGATGTTATCATGCTTTTTGCCTCTGGCTTTGCATCTAGATGGCTTGTGAATTCATTGCTTTATTTTAAATTATTTTAAATACTATGCTTATCAGCATAGTATTTCTGACTGCTGATCAGGCTTCTTACGAACAACAGATGGGTGGGGGAAACAATAGATATCTAACCATTGTTGCACTGTACACTTGCCTCTACCACTGATAAGTGCTTACAATTTATCTTGATTTGCAAAATACAACATATCGTAGGTGAAGGGATGGAAGATTACAGGTGAGGCCATTCTGTAGTTCTTTGAATGGAATTCAGGCTTGAATGAATGGCTAAAGATGCTAGTCATTAGGCAAGGCTTTGATATAGCAGCCAAAAAAGTTCTCATCCTGTTTCCTTGATGAGTCTAGCTACAACATCTTCCATTTTCTTGTATTACCACTTGACAAACAGGAACTGTTGTATAAATCACACCTGTACTTCAGCTAGAATAGCTATATGTTGAGGCAGTCAAGGTGTTTAACTTCTTATGACTTTTATCTATACTATTTTTAAATAAGTTTCATATTACTCTTAAATGTAGCAAAAAAATAATCATTAAATTTAATATGATCTTACTCAGATGTGAACAAGAGAACTCAGTAGCTATTAAATTGTGCATCTTCAGACAGCAGCAGGTAAAAACTAATACCTGAAATTTGTTACAGTGACAAAGATGTATAAAATGGTTGAAATTTGGCAAGAGGATTCCAGTGGACAAAATCTCTTAAATTTTAAATTGTATACTAGAAGGGCTAAAGGGTAGACTCCTTTTTAAATACAAACAGTACTAAAGAAGGCACAAACCTTGTTTTCTTCTGTGCATAAGGAATGTGGCTGTTCAATACTCTTTTGTTACTGTCAAGTGTGCGGGTGGTAAATGTGCTTTCTATGAAGCTGTCAAAATTATTAAAGAATCATTGGATGATTTAAAACTTCTTTTATCTTGAATTCTGTCAATTTTTATGTCCCTAATAGGTTTCCATTACTTATCCAGTCTGTTCAGTATTTTCCTAAATACTTCAAGTGGTCTGCATGCAGTTTTCAGTTGTAAACTTGATGTGAGCATTAAGTATTTGTCCTTTTATAGTTTTCTGGAAACACGTAGAGCTTGATGCATAGATACTTTTGTCTTTAGGTTTGCCAGTAATCCCAACAGACTAAATCAGCAGCAGGCTATTTTCTTTTTCTTCCACACCCTAGTTGATTGGCTCTGAAAATATTTTGGATGCTTCTATAGGTCAACCCCCCTCCCTCACCTTTTGTGTTCTTTAAATATCATTATAGAAAAATGATAGAGACTTCTTGCTTTCTCAGAACCAAGTTCTTCCTCTTGTCCTTGCTTAGGAGAGACTGCTGACATGTTGTTAACACTTTAGCCAGTATCTATTGTTTTATTATTTAAAACAAGACAGTTTTGTAAATATATTAGTCGTTTGATTAAATACAGGAGCTGCAAATACAATAGATCATGGGAAGGGACAGAACTTGTGGTGAAATTGGGACAGTTGTAGTTGAAACCATGGGTGTGTCTTTTGTAGTGATGTTGAAGCCCTAAGCTTGCCATATCTAGTGACCTTGTATGACTGGAACTGTTGGTCAATTCCTCCAGTGTTAAATGTTCCTGGCAACAGCCTGTCTTTCCTAGTGTACATGACACCTTGAGTCTTAATGGCTTTTAAATGGACACTCTTGAACTCTTGTCTTGCAGTTTGTAGTAACTTTAATAGCTGAAAGTGCATAGGAGTTTTTGGAACTTCTGTCATCTTAGTTGTTTTCTAGTCCTTAACATTTTAGGCACATAGAAAAAACATAAATGTTTATGATGAGATGGAAGGCTGTGGTATGAACTTGGTAAAGCTAAGAGATTGTTTGTCAGTTTCTTAGGGTCCTTATAGTTTGAGAATTAAACTGTTGTGTGCACTTTTAAATATTTTTAATTCTTAGGGTTTTAATAGTTACTAAACCGCCATAAAGGTTTACCTAGAAAAAGAATTTTTGTTAATGGCTAAATTATGCTAATTAGATTCCCCATCCCCCATGGATAATGAAATGGTACCATTAAAAGTGGCTTGTCAGTAGGCTTTTGATTCTCTCTGTATTGTTGATCACTTTATCATTACTTATACTGTGTTTCTTTATGTTTTAAATACTTTGTAATTTCGCTTATAGGTAAACTTGGTAGAAAAGTGAGAGAGAGAGGGTCTCAAAACAGCTATTTTCAAGATTAGCCTTTTTGGAGAATGTGTTTAAATAGTTTAGGCATATTGCTTTTCTTTGAGGTTTTTCCCCAATCAAAGGAAGAATACCAAACATGTAGAAAAGCTAGCAAATACTGCCAGATTTTTAAGTATGTTCTTTGAGATACCATTTCTCTGAAATTTAAAGGGAGTTTAAGTGGAATTTCCAATGCTTATTTTCATGTGTTGCTTATGGAACAACAGCCAACCTGCTTGTCTTGTTCATACACTGAAATCACTCTTGGCAAAGCTCTGAGAACAAATTACTGTGGTAGAAGCAGCAGAATGAGCGCAGTTAATGAGTACAGAACACTTTATGTCCCACAAACTGTGACTGATTTCAGCAATATATTGATGTAATTATTCAATCCATTTTGAATCCCCAATAAGGTTTAGGTTGTCGATCAGTATCTATAAGGAACTTCTTGAGTGAGAACTTAGTATACTGAATAAAATGCACTTTCAGAGTATGTCCCACTAATACATTAGCTTCATCGTAAGTTCTACTAAAACTTGCATTGGCTTTGCAAGGAAAACATGCTAACAGCTTTATATCCACCATGTCTTCATGGGCTATCAAATACCCAAGTTAGGGAATGACTCAAGACGCGTCGTATGAGATATGTTACAGAACAGGGAGCTCAAGCTTATAGTTACACACAGCGTTATTTAGATTTATGGAATACTATAAAAATTTGCATTTGTTTGATAATTATTTGCCATGGGGAAGTACAGAAGCACTAAAATGTTTTTGAACAGTGTTCTTTCTTTTTAGGTAATTTCTTTTGAGTAGTCAGGCTTTAAATGATTTGGCAAGCTAAAACAGAGTGGTGGGGAAGGGTACTTAAGTGTATAATTCCTGAAGCTACTTCTTTTAAATTGGATTCCTTCCAGTTGATACTGTTTCATTCAAGTTCCATAGGTCATTGTTTACAGTGCTAGAATTAAAGCCCAAGCTTCATTTTAAAACACAAATTTCCAGCTAATCTTGTGTACCAAAATCACATTCTAGGTAATTCTCACTTATTTGTGGTAAATGTTTTTATTATAGTACTGCAGTCAGGTTTGAGTTAGGATTACAAGTCTGTTGTGTTGGATACTGATTAAATAGAGAAAAGAGGTGTGATCCTTACCTTGAAATCTAGTAGTTCATAATACAACCAGGATATGAATTGTCCTGTGACTTGTCCATATGAGCTTACAAAGTGATTAAAGTTTGATCTTGGTTAAATGGTGTCTTGAAGATTTAAAAAAAAAAAAAAAAAAAAAAAGCACTGCCCTGAATCTCAGCATGACAGGTAATTTAGAATGGCAACGCAGTAAAAATCTTGTTTTCATCCATCCTTGTGGGAAGCTTTATTATGAATGAATGTCTCACTAATTTAAATTGCTTCAGCTGTTTAAAGTTCTTACTAAAAACATTTTTGTCTTTTTTTTTTTTTTCCTGCAGAAAGTGTGGATACCCATCAGCGAAGTTTTGATGTAGGAATTCAAATTGGCTATCAGCGTCGCAATAAGGATGTGTTAGCTTGGGTTAAAAAACGCAGAAGAACTATTCGTAGAGAAGACTTGATCAGCTTCCTATGTGGAAAAGTTCCTCCTCCAAGAAACTCTAGAGCTCCCCCAAGACTGACTGTAGTATCCCCTAACCGAGCTACTTCAACAGAAACTAGCTCATCTGTAGAGACTGATTTGCAGCCTTTCCGTGAAGCCATAGCTCTGCATGGTAACAGTCAAACTTTATCAGTATTTATTGAAATAAGAGTGGGTGGGCTTTTTATGTAAGCATGCCTTCTGTTAAGTTTGGGGGTTTATTTGGGCCTGTTTTCACTAATTACATAACCAGAGTGGCATTGCGTCTAACAGTCCAGAGGAAAGACATTTATTATATTTGCTCTGAAGGATCTGTGGCTTTGCCTGTGGGAGGGTTGTTAGTTACTTGTGTAAAAAGGTGCATTGGTTTTCAGTGAGAGCAGAAATTTTAAAGCGGTAAAGGAATTATTGAAGGTTATTTTGGAACTGGTATATCCTGTAGCATTAGTGTGCAATGCTAGTTTAGGATACAGTTTATGGCCTATTCTGCAACATGAAAAGGGAACTTGTTGACTGGCACTCCTTAAAGCCCTATGTTTCCCAGTACAATGCTAGTAGAAATGATGTGGTTTCTAAAACATACTGTAGTAAAAGTTGTGTTAACTGGCATTTTACCAACTGGAATACTCTGTTAACCGGAATTTCCAATATCCCAATACAAATCCTCATGTTAGCAACTGGAATCTTTGATGAGTCTTATCTGGCATGTGCATCAAGTTTTTGCATTACAAGCATGGCACTGTCATCCATATAAATCTCAGATAACTGGAATTTTTAGATAATCGGCACCCCCTGTATCCCACTCATGCCAGATAAAGCTTTTACTGTATTAACCTTTCAACTGACTGTTGGAAGGGAAATCGGGCTTTTTGCAGGAGGAGAGCAGTTGGGGGAGGGGTGAAGGAATGACTCTTTACACCTTC